TTTACGGTTTAGTACTCATGTACATCTAGGGACCATATGGGGACATTACTACCAATTCTTGGGCCTAAGGCTCGTACGATAATGTATGTATATTAGGGAATCTTATTGCTAACCCAGACGCTCCATATAGACTACCATTATGGAATTAAGTCTCCAAAAAGCCATACTTATTATGCCTTTGGGGACCTAATTCCATAATGGTCGTATATATGGAACCTCCGGGTATTGCCAACGGTCCCTAAACCCTAAACCCTGAACCCTAAACCAACCCTAAAACCCTAAACCCTAAAACCCTAAACCTTTAAAGCCTTGGGGCAATGGTTCCCAAACCCTAAGCCCTGCGTTTCTGATTCTCAGGGCCCTGGTAGGGCAGCTCCGAATTTCCGAATTTCTCTCAGACGGCCCAAGGGTGACCCGGAAGAGGCTCCTTGTAGTAGTAAGAGTAGTAGTAGTAGTAGTAGTAGTAGTAGTAGTAGTAGTAGTAGTAGCCCCGAGAGCTTCGCAACTCTAGGTTCCGTATTTTGGGGTTCCTTGAAGGGCTCTGTAGGGCTTAGGGTTTAGGGTTCTTTAAGGGCTCTTTAGGGCCTAGGGTTTAGCGTTTAGGGTTAGGGTTCCTTTAGGTGTACTATGGGCTTTGTGGGCTTAGGGTCTGGGTTTTGGGCGTCCGGGGGGTTTGGGGTCCGGGGTATAGGGCCCTTTACTCTATGTGTTAACGATCATTTGGTCCTGAAGGAACAACAGATTCTTGGGTTGTTGAATTCGAGCATAGGTGCCTTGATAATCCGAACAGGACTTTGGACAATACCTATAGTCTCCATTGCAGTTCATTTTTTGGTTTAACCAATTTTATATTAAGGGTCCTAAAAAGTAACCCGCAAAAGGAACTACAATGGAGCCTAGAGGTAGACAGGAAACAGGCGCTATAAGGTTACGATGACTAACTACGCAGACACGTCTACAACAGGACATGGCGACGGAGTCCGAACTTGGTCCCTATAAACCCTAAACCCTAAACCCTAAACCCTATACCCTAAACCCTAAACCCTAAACCCCCAACCCTAAACTCGAAGGGTGCGGAGTTGAGGATGAAACCCTGAACCTTAATTAAGGGTTTTGGGTTTAGGGCTTAGGATTAAACCCCAAGCCCTTGCACTTAGACTTAAAGCCTAAACGCTAATTAAGGCGAAATACTCCAAAGCATCAACCCCTCCAAAACCCCCCAAATCCGCAACCCACAATCACTAACAACAAATAAGTCCGAGTAAACCAAAACCCTTCTGCCGAAACCCAAACCCGTCTGAAAGACTTGAGGGGCTTTGGGTTTAGGGTTTAGGGCTTGGGGCTTTAGGGTTCAGGGTATCGCACCCTATCAGTGTAACTTCAACCTTTTAAAGCCATATGGCCGCACTGAAACCCTCGAAGCTGTATATGAGACCTTGTGAGAGCCCCAGTACCATGAAACACACCCGCCAACAAAAACCCAAAGGGCGGCAAACCTCCCAAAGCCCCAAACCCTACACCCAAAACACCTACATTCCTAAAACCCTGCACGTTTAAACCCAACACCCTAACGCCTTAAAACCTAAACCCTAAACCCAACCCTACACCCTAAACCC